AAGAGCTCTGTGTGCCTTGAAAGCTTCTCTCTCACCAACAGAAGTTGGTTCAATAAAATATATTAGCTCAGCCCCCTTGCCTTTCTAATAGATTTGTATGTAATTTCCTTTTTTATTTATAAAGCAAACTGGAAAAAAAATCCACCATGCACAACCATATTGACCCCCGAACGGCTCATCAACAGGGTTTGGATCTCTAGAGCCACAGCAGAGCCACACCTACTGCTTGAGATAACTGAGCACCTGGTTGCAATAACAGACTGTTGTCCTCTATGGGGACCAGCCAATAGCAGCAGAAGAGAAACATATTTTGCCAATAGGTGTCACAGTTGTTGAGATACTCTGCCCATGGAATGTTGAGACTCTGGAATCCTAGGTCCTATTTCAGGTTCCGAGGGGAGTGTGCTCTAGTACTCATAGATCCTTCTGCCCCTTTTCCCCCAGGCCATTCCCTCCCTTACACACCATCCCAGACTCATGTCCCCCTCTGCTCCTATCCCCTTTCCATTCAAGTCAGGCAATTCCTCCTCCACCACCAGGCTGTATGGGTGTCAGCAAGAGGAGCACTGAAAGCATAGGAGAGACAGTCTCCCTCCTCTGTTCCAGTGCCTGCCACCACAGTAGCCCCTACCAGCTAGGCAGAGCAATTCTAGGAAAAGTCCTGCTTTTACTACAGCCCTAGGCTGGAGCATGTATAACACCGACAGACCCTGGTCGTCGGTGGGCAGGATTGAACCTAGGACCTCCAGAGCTTACTGCATAAACCTCTACCGCATGAGCTAAAAGCCAACTGGCTGTTAGCTAAGGCTGCAGAGCAGACTCATTCTTTATCTCTCTTGCTAAGTAGTCTCAGTGCCACTAGATGGGACAGAACACCATGCCCAGAGTGTGTGTGGATTACACGTGCATTATGGGGTTAATGTATGTGAAGTCTGGCCCTAGCATAGGAGATGTGAGGGGGATGGTGGTGCATGCTCAGTACACAGTGAATCTTTGAAGAATTATACTGCAATCCTTAACAAACCTCTACTGAGCAGCTATGAACCAATTGTTCAGAGTTCAAAACATGGGCAAATTTGAGTGGATGTTCACAGGAACAGCAAAAAGCACATCCCTGAGAATTAGGGTGACCAGATAGCAAATGTCGAAAAAAATCAGGATGGGGGTGGGGGGTAATAGTTGCCTATGTAAGAAAAAGCTCCAAAAATCAGGACTGTCCCTATAAAATCGGGACATCTGGTCACCCTACTGACACCAGTGTTAACTCTCTACCAAATTTCAAGGGTCTGCTCCAAAACATGGAGTTGCTAGAGCACCTCACTGTAACACTATAACATAGGCAATTGTTCCTTAACCTTATTCTTGCAAACAGCTAAGATATTTTTGCTGAAACTTTAAAAAAAAAATCAGCCTGTGGCAGGCAACTTGCAAGGAAAATTTTATCTCAAAACATGTTAAGTTTAGCAAAGTTAAGAGAAACTGAATACAGGCTTTATAGTGTAAAGTGTTAGGCAACTATCAGTGATACTATCAGTTATACAGATAATAAATTAAATTACATTTTAAAAAAATCTTTCACTATTATAATCTAATGTGGTAATACGGGTTTAGGTTCCTTGTAATTTTTATTCTTGACAGCATGGAATCAGATTCCCCACAAAAAATGCAGCAAAAAAAATATAATAAACATAATATTAAGTACTGTAGAAACAAGTGTTTCTAAGGAGGAAGTATGATGCAGCAAATAGCTTCCTATAATATTAAGCCTCTTTCTTGGTAATGAGTGTGGGTAGACAAAATCCCGCTCTGACATACAGCCACTGTAACGTACATAGCTTTTTTGAACTGTGGAAACTTCTGAAAAATGTCATCTACTACTAACAGTTTAACTCACTGAGGTTAAGTACAAGCACAGAGCTGGTTTTCCTTTCAGTTTGGATCACACAACCCATATTTGGCATTTTCCACCCTGTCACCCTCCTCCCCCTCCCCACCTTATCTAACCCTCCTACTCCCTCTCAACCCTACTGTCGTCTCTCACTGGTTTGCCTCACTTCTTCATGTTCCACATAAACATAAGTTTTTTACCCCTCTTGAGTAGAAACCTCCTTCCTTCCTTAACTTCATGAGGTGCTGTTGTGAAAATAAACCCTGTAAAGGACCACATTTTGTTTCCAGAAAGCTTCATTCTGTAAGTGGCAGGGCCCACTGGCCCTGATCCACCAAAGTACTTAAACACAAGCCTAACTAAGTGAGTAGTACTGTTGACTTCAGTCAGGGCCGGCTCCAGGCACCAGCAAAGGAAGCAGGTGCTTGGGGCGGCCAATGGAAAGGGGCGGCACGTCCGGGTCTTCAGCAGCCGAATTGCCACTGAAGAATGAAGCGGCGCGGCTGAGCTGCCGCCGAAGTGCCGCCGATCGTGGCTTTATCTTTTTTTTTTTCTTTTTCTTTTTTTTTCCGCTTCACCGCTTGGGGCGGACAAAAAAAAAGACTGGAGCCGGCCCTGACTTCAGTGGAGTCAATGGGACAACTCGTGCATAAAGTACAGTGGTACCAATTTCGCAAATGGTTAAGGCAGCTGAGCTCTATTTATTTTTCTTCTCACTGTTCAACAAGTTGGCCCCTGCCTCATTCCCTATATTCAACTGCTGTATTTACTACACATCCTATTCCAGTGTTTCTAAACTAGGGGTACGTGTACTGGGGGTACACAGAGTTCTTCCAGGGGGTACATTAACTCATCTAGATAGTTGCCTAGTTTTACAACGGGCTACATAAAAAGCAACTCCACCAGAGAGGTGTTCTCAGTTACACTGGTGTATCATCAGAATAAGCGCAGTGATTTCCATAAGCCAAATGCAAATTTAGACTGTTGTAATTACATATGGTATTAGGCCCCACTTGAGACATGAATTGTATGGATTCTGTCCTCATTTGAATCGCCATCCAACCTGTTCACTAAGCACACTATGTCCCCTGGAAATAAGATGTAACCATATAATTCCAGACTGTAGAGGAATGAACCCAATGCATGGATGTTTGTAGTGGTGTTGTAACCATGTTGTCTCTTTCATTGATAGAAGTTGGCCCAATAAAATATAACACCTTACCCACTTTGTCTTGCCAATGCTCAACCTGCGGGGGCCCGTGTTTCAACACAATATGTGACAAAACCCCAAAATGAGGGACACAGAAACATCACATAGGAAACTGAGAAGGCTGTGGGAGTCATCCCTTCACAGACAATACATGCCTTTTCCTGCAACTTCAACTTCACCAAGGGCTAGTTCTGATGTAAATAACTTCCAATCCCTAAAGTGAAGGGAGATGTGATGTGTGTAAGAGACAGGGAACTCTGGGACCAAAATGCTGCCAGCCCTATAAATGGGAGCCATGTGTGCATTTGGGGGCAGAGTTAAGGTTACCCTGGGCCAGTCATAGCACCCACACTGTCTGTGGTACAGTCTAGAATCAGACAGTTTGCGCTCTCCCTCGTCCTGGTTTCTCCCGTGTGTGGGAAGCCGCGTCACAATGCGCTGGGCGAGTCCAACTGCTGCACAGGGGGAGGGTTATTCCACATTCTACCTGACCGGCGTGCTCGGGGAGGGGAAGCGATGGGGGAGCAATCTGTCCTCTCACTTACCCCGAACCTCCGCGGGCCCCCGTACGGGGTGGGCGTGACGGGAACCGGGTAGAGGGCAGGGACTACGGTAATCGAACCTCCCCCCCCTTTCTCTGTAGAGCGATGGTCTCTTCCGGAAGCGCGCGGGCGAGGCCTCAGGGAGCCCGCCTGGCCGCGCCGCTAACAATAGGGAAGTGGGGCTGGGGAGCCGCGGGCCCGAGAGACGCGGGGAGCGACGCAGCGGTGAGGGGCTCTGCCTGCTGCGGGAGTCGGGGTCTGTGGTGAGGGGCGGGGGAACCGAGGAAGGGGCTGGTGGTGAGGGCGCCCCTGTGGGGACGAGGGAGGGGGCAGGCTGGGGGCGGTCTCTGTGTG